ATATGATTAATTAATGTTTGGTATCAGTTCAGGTGAGACCTCCCTGGTTTAAAAAATGGGAAAGTTAAATATGTTATCTACGGACTTTCCCCCACTGCGTCTTCAATGTTAAACAGGTTATCACCTGATAACCTTTTGCCTGCTGTCTAACCCCTTCTTCCTATAAGCAAGCAGCATCTGAACAATGTTGTAACTTCCACAAGATCACCGGTCCCAGTAGGTCAACACTTTGTCTCTCCATGTGATCTGGGATTGTGTTCTTCATTTTAGGAGGAATTTGGATTTGATTTTGAGGACCATCGCTTCCCAAAGTAAGTGCGTGCTTTTATGTGATTGAAGTATTTAAGCCACTGAATGAGATTATACTCGTTAGATACTTCAGATTATGAGAGTATATCAAAACAATTTGCTCAGATGTTCTGTATACATGCCCCAAGCAGCCACATATTGCTGGCATTCTACTAAATTAAATCAATTGTTATTGAATATGTATTAAATCTGCTACAAGCAATTCACACTACATTGATAATTGTTTTTAAAAACACATTTCTCAAAATGTGTTTGTCTTCTACATGCATGGGATACAAAGGAATTAAATGCAAATTAGTAATTAAATGCAAATTCTAAAACCTACAAACACACGCAGGCACACACTGCACATACATACAAACAAACAAACACAATGACCCAATTGCAACAGTTATAAAAAGGCCTAAAATGCGAATTTATAGTTTCCCCAAATGCCTCAGGACTGTTGATATTGCACTACAGAATTGAGTGTCTCGAGTTCTCATTAAAAGAAATGCCTGTTTTCTCCATTTCATGAAAGAATAAGATAGCCACGGAACAGACCTTAGGGCTAATCCTCCAACTGTTTTCTTTTGCTCATTTAAAATGATATGATAATAATTCATCATCCCAGACAAATATGGACAATTCAGCTGGTAGCTACAGTGTGGGTGAGAGCTGACTGCACAAGAAACTTAGTTCCTTTGAAGCCTGAAAAGAGGACGATAATATTGTGTGTTTTAATGCCACTTGTGGTTACATCGTCGCACATCAAAAACACAACAGCTGGTAAGAAAAGGAGGAATCGGCTATAAGACAAGCTGCTCAAATCTGCTGAGTTCTTGTCTTCTCTTAAACAGTGAATAATGCATTCAGTACACAATGCTGTACCTGACTGCACACAGATTGTACAAAATGCTAGGCACAGTTAAAACACACTCATGGAGAATCCAGATAAAAGCTACTATCTCTTTGAAAGTGTGAATATGTTTACCTTTTTGTGTATTCCCTGCCAGAAGATAAGGACACAAACAAGGATAATGGTAAAACAAAGTGTTGTAATTCCAAAGCGAGGAGGGTGTAATATTGTGTAAATCTTGCATTTTTGCAATTACAACTTCTATTGTCTCGGGTAAATCCCATTGAGAATACAATCACATTTTCAAGGCAGACCTTATATGCAATAAAACAATATACTGAAGAATAATGGGAATATAAATGAAAATATAATGGACAAAAGTACACACAAATTGTTTATTTCCAAATGCAATTTTGTATGTTTCTTTATGGAACAATGCCAAAACAAATACCAGTATAATGGTTGGCAATTATCAAGGGATAAACATGAATCCCATTGATGTCCACTTAATCCCGCCAACATACAATGTTCTTTGCATTGATTTAAACTGATATGTATCTGTAGTATTCCCCTGGCCGTACAATTTCCTTTTCTTTACTTGAACGCTTTAGAATATACTGTGCAGCGCTCTCTTCCTTCTTATCTCTCTCTCTCTCATGATCGTATAAACACCACCACAAACATACCAGGGGAGCAATGCGTCCTAATTTAGGAGCTGCCAATCAACCATCAGCAAGCATGTGAAGTCTGTCAGGAACAGACTGATTAATAATATGTGTGTTTTCTTCCCATTCAATTGTCCTTTTCTCTTGCTGGCCTGGATATAACATGACATACATGGCATACTGTACAGTCGTGGTTTTAACATGAGAGGAAATCTTGTTTCAACGACTGAGGCAAGAGGAGTGCAGGAATTAATCCTAAAACCCGAAATGAGTTAGCATTTTAAACGTTTTTACCGGTTCCCTCGTCTCAAAGTGAACTTTCTTTTTTTTTTAACACAAGCTTAAGATATTTATTTTTTTGTTCAATTTTATAAAACACCTCAGTATATACCACACTCATTATTGTCAAAAGCCGAGGAACATTAGCAGCTTTTCAAAATGAGGGAACTGGTTGCACAAAAAAGTAAAAAAAATAAAGACTAAACGTCATCACGCCAAGATATAACTTAGCGGTGGAGATGCGCACTCATGCGACCGTCATGTAGTTCATTTATAATCTTAGCTTTCTTCTGGCGATTGCATTCACGCTTCAAAGATGTCTGTCTCATATTCCAAAATTCCAAACATTTAAAGACAACTTTTTGTTGAAGGAACCCAAATCAGCTGACCAAAATGTGTCACACTGCACCAATACTGAGGTTAAGCTTGACGATATTGTTATAGTACATAATTTGCCAGAACAAACTGAATCTGTGAGAGGCATGAATTTCCATTTAAGCGCGCTTTGCATAGAAAGCACCAGATACTATGGCACTATTGTGACACAATGGACTGTAGGAGCAAACAGAAGCTGCTTCAAGGTCAAGGGATGGGTTTTGTATATGAAGATGTTGGAGATACACAGTGGACATGAATAGATTACTGTACCTTGAGATTGTGAATGTGTTCACGACAAAGTAGAGTGTCCTCTGCAAAACCCTTTGTCTGTTGAAAGAATATCCGATAAGACAAATAAAAGAAAGGCTGTAATATAATGTTAGGTGAGCCAATATGATTTATAAAAATGTTATATCGACATATGTAGACTGTGACTCCTGTATTTACTCCCTGTTGATTTTTCACATTTAAAACAGGTAGAAGATGTTTTTCTTCTACCTGATTTGACCATATTCAAGTCACTTCATGCGCCAACTCCCTGTTTTGTTCTTCCCCAGATGGACAGCTTTGAAATTAAGATAACACACTACATACCATACTGTAAGTGCCAGACATTAAATTACATGGGGATTTGTTTGTGCAAATAGAAACAAAGGTTTGGTGGCAATTTTCCATCTAACACAGTTTCTCCGCTTCATGTTTTTTCATTAATGCATATCTCTGCGTGACTCTTTGTTGAAGGCAATTCTCACCTTAGTTTCCAAACCAGAAATTGCTTCATAAATAAAAAAGAGATAGATACAAGCAAAGCAGCTGAGCCCATGTGTGAATACACTTTACATGGACAACATTCAAACCACAAAAAAACATTAACCCATGAAATTAACATACAACGTTAGTGTCACAGACTTCATAGTAAATGTGTGAAAAAGGTGAACACATTCTATAGTGGAAGAATAAGCTTGGCAACGCTGCGATGATGGGGTTTTGCCAATGAACATATTAAAAAAACGAATATATTATAAAGCAATGTTTATAAAAAATTGCAGATGCACAGAAAAAGGACTTCATTCATTTTTGTATATCATTTTTATGAGAAATTAGGTTAAACCTGTATAAGGTTGTGCTACAAAGACTAAATATACCTTGTTGGCTGATAAACTATTGCAATATGACATGATATCACATCAATTGGGATGTTTTGTAAATGAACCTTCACATATTTCCTGTAGATTTAATAGGAATAACATGAGGAAGACAAGATGCTTCGGAGATATGTGCTTACATTTAAAAACAAACCTGCTAAGCCACGAAGAAGAGGAGAAGGAACAAGTGTGGGAGTAACAGAAAGGTGATGAGACGAGAACATTGTTTCATATTGAAAAGGTCGGCATATGTGTCGTGAGGTTTCAGGTGTCTTGAGAATGCACAAGTGGAAACCATGTCTCAGTAACTTTACACCCCTCAGCTGCCACCTTCTGATCCTGTCTGTCTTTAGCTTATCTTTAAACATGCTTTACTGAGGAAACAAACATTTACGCTTAAGCCTTTTGAATGTTATCCCTGTTTTCAAACAAAAAATCCTCAGTCCTTCTATTTATGCTTTATGATAACAGACGATAACATTATATTTTATGTGTACGAAGCAGAAATCTCCAGGAATTGACATTCAAAATAAACAGATGGATTTATTGCGAGACCATTCATCCTCCCTAATCTTTCAATTTACAGTAACACAAGGATGGATCAAATCAAAAGTGAATCGAGAGAAAGGAAATGTAGCATTTAATGGAGTCTGTATCAAGCAGGCGTGGATTACTACTAAACGTGTGCTTCCTTCTATGACAGCTAATTACAATTTGGAAACCATAGCTTGTGGGTAGAGCTACTCTCAAACACCCTGTTTTCTGAACAGGATGGAATATGAATGTCAACATTTTAAAAAGGAACATTTGAGGGGTTTTAGATCTCAGTGATTTCTGAATCTCGTTCAGTCAGGCTCTCTTTGTCGTGTCGACTACAGTTCTACGCTCTCTATTTTATGCAGCTTTCTCTGTCATCCATGTATAAATCTACATTACACACTTAACTTCCGCTGAAAGGAAGGATTTTTCAGCCCATTCCTTTTTTGAGCTTTTGTTTGATAAATCTAATCAGTCTCAGTCTTCATTCTTAGATGTGTTGGCATAAGGTATCAGGATACTGGGTGGAATATAAATGTACATAACAGTTATTCAGATTTCCTTTTTTTCTACTGTCTTATACAGATTTAGTTTTGCCAGAAATAATTAGAAAAATCCCAGTTTGTCATTTTAAATCAGGTAGAAAGATATTTAGGCCTTGCTTTGAGCGACTGAAGTTACCTTTTTAGTATAATGCATGAGAACATAAATGCATTGCTTTGGGAAGACCAGCATCTTTTTACAAGAACCTACGCAAGACCAAAGTGCCCTGTGTTCTTTATTCATGGCCTGGTCAGGCTTTATAAATGGAGCGAGCATGACAGAAAAGGTAGGAAGGTCCTGAACAGAATGAACAGAATGAACGAGATGACAGGTAATGCATCACACTTGACAGAAAACTTTTGTAGTTGTTGGGACAGATTCAAATCAAAACAGTTTCTTTACTTGAGCAGTGAATTTGTTATATGTGATTTTTTATTTTTGGTTGTCTTCAGTCATGCAGAGCGTTGTATGGCCTCTATTGCTCTGGCCCTGTCTGCAAACCGTAAGCATCCCCCTAGACTGTAGGGAAGATCAGGGCGGCGTCAACCGCTGTACCTCCATCTCCCAAGAGAAGCTTCTAGACCGAGTCATCCAACACGCCGAGCTCATCTACCGTGTCTCAGAAGAATCATGCTCTTTGTTTGTGAGTAGAACCCCAAAATGAGTCTTCGCACTCATGTTCTGTGTCGGAAAAACATGTCGGCGGACCCTTTACATCCGCAGGCTCCTTCAGTAAACTGTAAAGGCATATTTAGAGCAGTGTGTAGCCTCAGGAGAAACTGAATCCTTCTTCACACTAGAAAATAGAAAATCCTTGTTATTGTACGTAGAAAGAGAGGATTCAATGAAAGGTAATCCATGCATTGCATTCAGGGCCTATGTGGGGCATGAGTTTGTTTAAAAAATATATTTTTATGAAATGTGAAATCAGCATTTTGAAAAGCAGTGCTGTAGAAACGCAGCCTTAAGGCAAAAGCTACGGTGACAGAAATGCATAATTTTGCTTTTGAGAAGCTGCATGATTTTACCTTTTTAATAATACGGAAAAAAACAAGAGCAGCTACATTTGGTTGTTTATCCACATGTCAAGGCTAGTAGATATATCGCTCATAAGTTACAGTAGCTTTGCATTTCCCAAGATATGTTATTTGTATGCTGCAATCTATCCATCCTGCAGTCTAGCAGCACGTTGAATGAGTTCTACAATGAAAGCATAAGTACTTTTTGTTGGACTTTCCCACACTGTGCTGGACCTTAAGGACTGGCACTCTCTATGTTATTTGCTTTTGATTCCGACATGATCATCGCCTCACTGCCAGGCTTCAAAGTCATCTTCTATCCCTCTTCTCAGCCAAAGATGTTTTATTGAAGAAGCGGGCCTACAGTGCAGTAATACGAATGTGATAATGATATACCGCAGCAGTGAGAGCACAGGTTTTACAGCCTGTTGAATCCCCTTCACTCCGCGGCTGCAGATCAAAAATGGTCTTTGAAATGGGATGATGTAGGAGTTGTAACAGAGAAGACGCTGCATGAGGTCTTCAATAGAGAACATGCTGCGGAACAAAATGAGTCTCACTCTCCGCTGAGTCTCCAGTGGCAGAGATTGGTGAAGCTTTTGTCATTGTTTTCAAGAGGCTTCCTTATGTGGGTTCTTGTCATTCTGTTCCTATGAGAACTGGAGGTTTTACATCAGCTTAATAACAGACAAGCAAGACGGGGTCAAGAATGACCCCAGAGGGCACAAGGTGTGATTATGTGTTGTCATTAAAAAAATATAAATTATTCAAAAAGGGCATCCTTACTAAACTTTGACATCTCTGATAAGACAAATAGTCACAATATAATCTGATCAAATTAATTCATTGTTTCACTTCTTTTTTTTTTATCAAAAAATGGTATAATTTCATATAAATAAGGGTCTATCGGCCCTAAATTCCAAAACTGAGGGAAACATGTGTGGTAATGGGTTGTACTGAAGTAGAACTAAAGGTATAACACAAAATTGATTCACATTTTATACTTTATGCATTACATATCAGACAAGCCAGATGGGGTCATTTTGACCCCAGAGGGCACAAGGTGCATAGTAATCGGGAGGACATTACATCAGTTTAAATAAGACTAAAGGGTTGCTTCTCTTTAGTTGAGGTTTAGTACTAGAGTGAAACATTAAAATGTTCTGCCAGAAACAAAAATAATTCAAAAAACTAACACAGATTGGTATCCTGCTGCTTATGGCATTCAGTTTTTAATAAATAGAGTAAAATAAACTCAAAACAAGTTTTTTTCAGGATTTAACATTAAGGAGGGTTAGAAAAACATATCAGTAAGTATTGTTACACACATATCTATATGTGCACATGAGTGTACCCCTTAGGTGTGTGTATTTTGACATGTTTTTTTCTTTTGTATTTCCCCCCCCCGCATGCTTGTATGGATTTCTAGGAGGAGATGTTCATCCCGTTCGAATTGCAGCTCCAGAGGAACCAAGCAGGCTATGCATGCATCACCAAAGCCTTACCCATCCCCAGCTCCAGGAGTGAAATCCAACAGATCTCTGTATGTACATGGCCGCTGAACACCAGAGATGTTTTTAATTGTGTTTGTCAGTCCTTTGATCTTAGCATGTTAACAATACCAGTGTGTGTCTGAGTGCAGCGATGCTTTTATGTGCGTAAATATGTGTTATAGGAGACAGTAATCTTGTCTAGGCGAATGCACTTGTGTCTGTTTGTTTCTGTAGATAAGAGTGGAGTTACCAGTTTGTGTGCATGTGTCATTGTATGTGTATATGTGTGTGCAGGCTTTAGTGTGATAACAAATAAATAATAATCTCTTTGAAAGCTTTAGTGGCGCTTTGAGCCAACACTTTCTTATTCGAAACAATGTGTACAAAGTGTGCAACTGAACCTCCCCTCCGTCTGCCTCTGTCAGCTGCTAAATGATAGTGTTTGGTCTAATTACAATTGAAGGTCCTCAAATCTCTTAGAAGTGTTGTTCTTTTTCAAACTGTGTGTGCCTACTAAGGTTTTGATCACTGTCCAACTGGTCACAGCCTAATATCAGTTTGATAAGTATGATTAAAACTAGATTGAACCACTAAGCGAAATACCTACAATATGAAGAAGTGATTTAGCTGATGTAAACTGTAATCTGAACAAAGGCCAAGTAAAAATGGCAAAAGCAATATACTTCAGGATTTGTTGCAGTATTGAAACTACTTATTGAAAGTTATATCATCACCATAACAGTAAATGTGATCTTTGAAACTGCATATACTGCAAGGCTCTTCTTTATGTTAATAATTTATCCTTTGCCCTTTCTGCTGAAATACTGCCTGCGCTGCGGTTTAATGGCCATTTGTATGGCGGTCATTTTCACTTGCTTTGGAGTCTGCTCTGCTTAGGGGAATTTAAGCGGGCCCAACTGCTTCACCCATGACATTTCAACCAACTGATGCACCTGAATGTTTTCTAGCTGGCATGTGATCAAAAGCCAAAGACAGTTCTACTGCAGCTCTGTCATGTTTTGTAGTTTCTAGGGACAACTTTATGTGCAGTATTTGTACTTTATGTGCAGTGAATCATGCATTCGTTCAGTCATTTTAACTTCTCACCTGTGTGCCCTGCAGGACAAATGGTTGCTCCACTCTGTGTTGATGCTGGTCCAGTCGTGGATCGAGCCTTTGGTCTACCTGCAGACCTCACTGAATCTCTACGATGTGGCTCCTGACACACTGCTTAACAAGACCAAGTGGGTGTCTGAGAAGCTGATCAGTCTGGAGCAAGGAGTGGTGGTCCTCATCAAGAAGGTGGGTACAATCCCATTGACTGCCATAGAGAAGAACCCACAGCAGAATGTTTGATTACTATAAGTACAAATATTTAAAGGGGACCTACAGTGTCATGCAAAATGCACTTTTTGATGTCTTTTATACGTAAGTATGTCCCCCCGGTGTGTCAGGGAACTCACAAAGTGTCAGAAAATACAACCCTCTCCCTTCCTCCGTGCGCAAATCTCTAAAAACGGGGGTACAACGGAGCTGATCCAGATTTGCGGCATATATATGACGTAATATCGGAAATGTGGGCTGGCTTACACCCACGCTATCAGAAACAATGCCCGACTGTTTTGGACGTAATATGGTCTTTGTTTACATTAGCAAGCATCGCTAACACTCAGAGCCATAGCCGCAGGAAGTCATTTTACTTAGGGGGTGCGGCCAAAAGTGGGGAGAGATTTCAACAGTAACATGAACATAATAGTAACTGGCAAAAAAGTACACCATTCTCCAACTGGGGGTGCTGCAGCACCTCCAGTACCCCTTCTTCCCGTGGCTATGCTCAGAGCTAACCTGTACTGGAGAGAGCATGTGTAAAAAGCAGGATATAAAAAGGAACTCACCTTGTGCTAAACAGGCAAGAGAGAAAGCATTTGAGCTCCATACTGTTCCAGAAATAATCCTTGATGTGGTTTTGAACATGATATGGCATTTCATCTTTTTTTTTTTTTTTAAAGCTGTATAGCCCGAATCAGCACTTTAGTAACAGGGCTGAAATAGAGGGATATGAGGCATGTCTAGAATTGGTGATCTGTTTGGCATTTTGAGCAAAACACTTCATAGACATGTTTATTATATATTTGTATCTGAGACCTATGCTATTGCCTAAAAATAGCATGATAGGTGACCTTTAATGGACAAACCTGAATTAAGCATTTAACAGTAAAACCTTGCCAGTTTTGGTAATATATCAATATTTTTTCCAAATGTGTCCCTACAGATGTTGGATGAGGGTTTGTTAACCACAAACAATGAGCAAGGCCTTTTCCACAACGACGCTCAGCCAGAGATGCTGGAATCCGTGATGAGAGACTATACCTTGCTCAGCTGCTTCAAGAAAGACGCCCATAAGATGGAGACCTTCCTCAAGCTCCTCAAGTGTCGACAAACTGACAAATACAACTGCGCATAAGCCTCAAAGTTGAGCTTTTAAATAATACTGCTTTTTAATGAATTCCTGAGTTTGCTAGTACTTATAGATATGACCATGCCTTAGGCGCTGCTGCCTCGCTTGTATTGCAGTACATTCTTTATTGATTGTTTTGGAACACCTTCACACAAAACTAAGTAGGTGTGATGCTATGCCCTTTCTGGAGCATTCTGCATTTTATATTCCCCCGCTCAGTTGTTATCTTAACCTGGCAAAGGGAACAGAGGGCAAACTCCCAAAAGATTATTTGCGTGTCGAGCTGTCAAAAAAATCTACATATCCTGCCATTGATTTCCATTTCCTTTGTTCTTAACTGGTGTTTGTATTCCTCGCTGTCTCTGGCAGTGTTTTGATTATTCCCACGGCCCCCAGAGTATTCAGTGAGATGGTTTCTCGGCTGCATTAGTGAAATGAAACACTTTCACCGGAGACGGGAGTCAAACCGAGAGCAATCACATACTTTAAAAAAGACACATTTTGATCGGTAGAAGGAAGACAGATAGAGAAGAAATAACAGCTAAAATGAGGGGCAATACTTGGCTACCTGGAGTTTCTGGTTGAGCAGGTTTAGATTTGCTGAGTGCTAATAAAATAATCCAGAATATTTGAATGCCTAAATGTGCCTAATTAAGCCTGAATGTAAGAAAATAAGCTTGTTAAATGATCAGGGAGATCCATTTGAAATGTTTATATTTGCTTTTATGAATAGGTAATGCAGAATTCAAAGTATATTTTGTTCTACTCCATAATGCCCAATGTACTGTGAAAACCTTTCTAGAATACCAATCTTGAAGTAGTATTTAAGGCACTAATAAAGACAATTGTATTAAGACAATGTTTGGAATGATTTTCTTATGATGAATTCCTTTTTGAGGGAAATCCACATATAAATCCCATTTGTGATGTACATGTATTATAGCGGAAAATTCTCTGGTCAAGATTAAATGAAAAGCAATATCCATGCTCTTAATTCTGAGCTGTTCCACCCCAAAACACAAGAGGGCAGTAGAGCTCTTTCACGAGGTAACATTAATCACCATATTGTTTACTCAAACTGCCATGCATTTTATCACAGCTTGTGTTTTGAAATGCTCAGCTAAAATACATTTGATTGGTTAGGAGAAAATACAATTGTCGTACACATTATTCATTCTCATTGAGCGTATTATTATTGATACACAAATTCTTGAAGAAAACGTTTAATATGATTGACCAAAAACAGTGTTAGCAGTCATGCCAAAATCAAGCAGTTATCCTACTTTTAAATAAAAGGTTTGAAACTGGCCAAGTGGATTGTCTTTTCCTGTTTAAAGTTGCCACCACATCATGAGACAAAATGGTCCCCACCCCTCTGATTTAAGGATATTGTTATTATTTTTGTAACTCTTGAATATTCTGAGTCCTTTGCTCACTGTTACCATAACAGCATATGTAAATCAGCCTTGCGGTTGCCACGGTGAGTCCGGTGAAAGCGTAGAGAGGTGGTGTTGTGGCGTGGGTGGATGTTGGGGCAGGA